AGACTTCCTACTGTATTCCTAACACTGAGATATAGAAAATCACAAAGCACACATAATTGTATGGTGTTTATATATATTTATGATATTTAATAAAGAATCTATTGAAAGAATGAAAGATGGAAAATATCCATTAATTTGAACGCCGGCAATATACATTCTTTCAGTGATATACGTTGTTTGTCAGATAAAGTTTCTTGTACTGACGAAATAAGTTTATATTCATTGAAGTTGATAACTTAAGCTTAGCCATACTTCTTATAATTTCGAATTTTGTGCTGTACCAGAAATTTTATATACAAATTGGTGGGCATAATCATAATGAGGATTACAGGCGGCATGAATGCGTTTTAACCATGTACGAATACGCACATCATAATCAGCCATGCCTGAAGGATATAATAAGAAAAAAGAACTATAACTTACAAAGTACCTTTAATTAACAAGTTACGCTTAAGAGTTTGTTCGATTTCGCAAGCAGCAAATATATATCGTCACCGTGATGGTGTTAAAAATAAGAAAAGATAAAAATGCTTCATTTTCTAACCAAGCACTCTGTATAACATGTAAATTCATTTCCGTATGATATCGCAACTTTGCAATTTTCTCTTCAGATGACTTTTTACCACCTAGTAAAGGGTCTAACCAAATGCGACGGAAATACATAGCGTAACCACTGCGTTATGTTATATACTGCCATTCAAGAAATTCATCGACGTGTGCTTGTTCAATAAAATATCTTTCTGATATAAATATTCAGGTATTTTACCTTTGGCGCTAAGATACCTGTGAGAAACACAAAGTAAAAATTAATTTTTATCACATTTTCTTTTCATCAAAATAAAGCATAACTGGAGGGAGATTTCTCTAAAAAAATAATGAAGAGTTTATTTGAAGTTCATTGTTTACCTTAAAATTGCTACACTTTCGGCTAATTTGAATCTTCGGTTAAATGTTCACCTACACACCTAGGTTGTACCTATGAAATTTTGTGTTTTCATTATTACCATTTCTTAGGGCAACTGGACAATCCCGAAATCGTATCCCACTTATTTTGAGTATTATGTACAGAGCTCTTGAGGGCTGCGACATTAAGTCATAATAAAACGATAGCAATATCTTCGGCTCGCAAACCAAATGCACTATAAAAGTCCCCAATGATAAATGCTTTCTTTTAGAAAACTGATTAAATAATTATTATTAAATTTATCGTTTTTGTATGCGTTCAAGTTAACGAATTAACGTATTAACACTAATGATACCAACACTTAATAGATACCTATTCTGCCATAGGGGGTCATCAAATGATCCGAAATTTATGTTTTCTATTTAAATGTATGAAATGCGGATGTTACAAAGGAAAAAAAAATGTAGTATAATTAAACAAAATAATATCTTAACAATTTTTTTACAAACGCAAAACATAGTTGTTTTTTTCATTTTTTACTCATCGCATTTTTTACATATAAGTGTGTTCATCTTACATCTTCTGCAAACATATTTTTTACATTTAGTACAAATTTCGTTGGTTTTATTTTCTTTTCTTTTCCTATTTGCCACCTCTTGCGTTGATTAGCATCTTTAGTAGACTTAGGCAACGATTGTTTCGTATTTGTTTTCTCTTTTGGTTGTCCACGGGCTTCTCGAATATCGGCGGCAAGTTCTAGTGGTAGCATAAGTACAAAATTTTGTCTCGAGATATTATTTCCTGTGGTTTGCTTGTACAAAATCCAGGCATTTATGCCAGCTAAGTCAAGGATATTGAAAAAAACTTGAAGAGGCCATCTGCAAGGCTTAGACTTTGTAGTAAATTTTCTCGCCATTTAATTGGTCATATCTACACCAAATTTGGTTTTACTGTAATATGAAACAGTTTCAGGTAAACGCTTATCGTTGTTTTCTACTGTTACAAATTTATGTTTAGAACTAAGTAAAAGTGCATTTTTGTTTGGCTTGCTTTTATAGATTGTAAGAGTACAATTATCTGTAATAAAAATTTTAGATGAAAATTTTGCCATATTATCTTTCTTTGGCTTCGCAATTAGTGATAGTTCCCTTTTATTTGACCGAATAGTCCAAACTAGCATAGTTTTTTTGCTAGGAGTTGTATTGCTAGGGATTTGCTTGTGAAGAAGTTGTCTGTGGTCACAATTACACAAATACCGCAACCCGCAAAAGGTTCAAGAAGTTTAGTACAATATATTCAGAGAGTGGTACTCAAGAGTACCTATTTTCAACTTTTCCTAGATATGGAAGTGCATTTATGACGTATTTGTTATCAACATCCGATGCTAACCAAAATTTGATTCCAAATTTATCCAGCTTGTTAGGCATGTATTGTCTAAATCTACATCTTACGTTAGTCGGAAATAGCTGTTCGTCTATAGTAATATTACAACCCGGTTTGTAATAGCAAATTTATCTATTTTCAAACGTTGACTTCGCTGACTTTTTTATCAAAACGAATAAATCTAAGAATTTCTGTAAAATTATTTCTGCTAAGTTTCAGAAAAAAATTTAGGCCTCCATATGATATTTCACAAAAAAGAAATTTTCAAATTATTTGCAGCTCGTGAATATAAAATTGTAATAAATGCATCTAATTTTTGTTGAGGTAAACTCCAATCGGGTCCTAATACTCTGTTTGCCTCTTCTATTGTGCATGGTTCATAATACGGTGGTCAATTATCAATGAAAATGCAGTACTAACTTTACCTCTCATTACGTGACGTTTTGAATATCCTGTCAGTATCTGTAGTTTCAAATTCTTTTTCATTTATAACCAATATATCTTCGTTTTCAGAAAATTCATCTTCTCCGTTTTTCGAAAACTCTTCCCCAACCTTATTTATATCTTCTTAGAACTTGGACTGTCCCGTTGACTTCGGCATTCTTATGGGTAATGAAAGACCTTCAGCTACTTTCAATCTAAAATTTCGATATTTTCTTACAATCATTCTCAGTTGTTTTGATTGAACTACTTTATGCAACAGTTTTTGCGGAAATGTGCAGCTTACCAACTATAAATCGATAAGCAATATGTATCGATAAACTTATAAAACAAAAAATTTTCCCAGAGTCAAATGACCAAATGTGGTGGACAACAGGTATACGACAGATGTTACTCAACATAGACAAAACAAAAAGAAAATATAAATAGTACAAGAACTGTAGATTTATTAGTAAGGAATTGCCATAAAGCCAAATTTGTAGATATAATAAGATGATACGTGCATTTTCAATGCAAAAATTCAAAATGGGTTATTTGACCCGTTATGATATTGTTAGTGTTAACTTCGGGTACTGCATAGCGGTTCAAAGCAACTTTCTCTAACAACATACATCCATAAAGATTAAAAAATTTATGTAACCGAAAGTAATATTTTTAATCATCAAGTCACTTTTGTGTGAAGAGATCCAGGTAGACCGCAATGTTTGTGTGTAACAGCATAATTGTATTAATATTGTTGCGAAAATCCCAAACCCACTTAATTTCAGCTTATTAATGTTCCCTAATAATAAATTCTCTAAAGAAGGAAAAACCAAATCCACATTCACAGGCGCGTCATGCAGCTGCAGGCCGATGAAAACGATTAGCGGAAAATCAGTAGAGGATTAAATGTAAAAACTATGAATTTGGGTATAGTAACCTGCTTGTAAAAATGTATGTAAATAGAATATTTGAGGAAGGGAGAGTTAGTCATGCAAGAACATAGAAGTTGAGAATAGGGCCAAAATAAATTGTAAATAATCCTACATTTAAGGAACATAATTGTAAATAAAGGATTCTACTGTTAAGGAATATAACTGTAAATAAAACAACTTTGAAGTGTATTTCTCTTGAACAAAATACCCGTGATACGGACTGTGTCTTAGAAAAAGCGAATTTCGTCACAATATAATGAAAAAATTACACGCAGGCGGTTACGCTCAAAAATTGCGCAGAAATCTTCCTTATCGGACGGGCTGATGATATGTCCTGGGCTACACTACACCCAGACCTACTTCCGGTCTTCTCCGGCCTATAATACTGTGCGAGAGATAGTGTTGAAAAGTACATTTTGCCAATTTATATATATTTTATTCCGTGTGATGAAGCACGTTTTGAATGGTATTCTAACTTTTAAAAAGACTCGAAACTGCGCGAAGTGTAATTATGTCCATAAAAGTTAACTATTTTGTGCTAACGCCAACTTTGTTTAACCGAAAATTCATTTTCGGACATTGAGAAAACATGTTTTAATTTTATGTTATTGCGTTTCAGTGTCTGCTGATATTTCAGTATATGAATACGATTCGAGACGTCCTGCGTTAAGTAATCAGCATATATATATATATAACATATGTACACACATATGTACTACCATTTGCCAATGGAAATACATTGTTTGAATAAAGGTTTATGTAAAATTTGAGAATCTATTCACTGTTATTTTAATAAAACACATAACTTTAGCCTGCAAAAGGTTGGGTTCCTTTTTTATAAAGTAAAGTAGCCACAACACGTAGTATGTATATGTTTTCAAAATTATATCTCAGTTGCGATTTCCCCACATGTCTTTTAAGTACTTTACAAGGATTTCATCCTGTATTCACATTTTATAGAATTGTTTTACTATTTATCGTTGTATTTCCTTTTTTTTATAAAGTTTGGGTAAAATTTATATGATATGACTATTTATTAGTTGAAGTGTTTGGATTACTTGAATGCTCTGAGACTTCAAAATAGTCTAAGTGGTAACATGCTAATTATAAAAATAATAAATATTCTTAATGGAAATTGCCGTTTTGAACAAAGTGTAAAAATATGGTAATTAATTATTATGTGTTATTACACACTTCTCTTTGAAAAAAAAGCTGATTTAAGAACGATCACGTTACATACATACACTAGATAATCTAAGTTCAAATTTAAGATTAGAAAATGAATGGCAGTGGGTTAGTAATGGAATAGATTAAAATTAAGTTTCAAGGGGTGGGTTGATCTCGATGAATGAAAAAAGAATCTGCTAAAGCGGTAAGTTATGATGCTTCTGTACAGCCTTTTGCTAAGCGCTCTTCAATAGCAGCTATTTTAATAATTAAATTATTCATAACACTCATGGAGATTTCGACTAAAAACAAATACTAACAGAATTCATATATAATTCATGTAAATATGAGATATTCTGAGCGAGGGACAAACTTACTCATGACAAACAAATGTAATTCGGTAAATATATCCTCTAAAGCTAAACCCTCAACGGATTTGATGGTTTGTATATTCAAAGAATTACGAAAAGGACGTAGTAATTTTTTCCTAAATTATTTGTCGTTTTTTACCATCGTAAGCCTGTGCAAAACCTTTGGCCGGGTTTCCAATATTTTTTCGATATCGCGGCGCAATGGATGACCTACACATATATAAACGCTGTCTTCATCGACTGTAGAACTGGTACTTTGTAAACATTAAGTGCTTTACGCATATCACCCTTCCATAAGGTAATTAAAGCCTTTTTGCCATTTTCAGTTACATTAACTCTAAGGAGTCAAACGATATTGGTACTTCCATAATATACATATTTTAAAACACACTTTTCCTCTTTAATTATCTTATCTAATCTCGGAAATATCTTTTCCTGTGATAATGGAGCAAATCGAAAGTTGGTGCATCTAGATTGCACGGCGGGAATTATTTTACTTAACCGCCGCTTGGGATTCTTCGACAGTGTTTTTCAATACTGCCTAAGTTTTCTCGACATAAAATCTGAACAGTGCGATCGCGCTGCTTAGGACTCAACCGGTTAAGTAATTGCAAACAACCTAACATCGTATATCGTTCAATGATACGCCTGAGAGCGTCCTGTGCATCATTTGTCATGGCGTCGGCTTCATCCAGTATAATTAATTTGAAAGTTCCGCTGAATATGGTTCGAGTTGAGGCAAAATTTAATATCTGCCCTCCAACAATACCGATACAACGATCATCTGAAGCATTTAACTCTAACACCATTGACTTAAATTGGGCCGGTGTGTATAATTGTTTGGCACATGCTAATATTGCGCTAGTTTTGCCTGTATCAGATGGACCATAAAAAAGCAAATGTGGCAAGTGTTTCTGATTAATAAAACGATTAACTTAGAATACAAATGAGAATCTTACTAGGTTGGTGATACACAAAATTTCGTTTATATTTACTGGTCGATATTATTTCTTCATGAGATATCAATTCGTCCAGCTGTGCAGGTCGGTATTTCTCTACCCTACATGTAAGCAACATAAGCGTTAGGATTATAAGATGCGCAATTCGATAATTATCTGTGATATTACCATTGCACCCGAGCAGTTTTTGGCGTGTTTTTTTTTTTTTCTGTCATTTCAAGCAATTAATTAATTTGGTTCTTCCTGAACAAGAATTGACTAATAAAAGCAAAGCTGGACAATTTTTTGCGTGAACATTAAAAGGGATGTTGATAGCGTTACCACTTCAATTAAAATGCATAGTAGTGGTGAATACTAATTTTTTACTACTATTTTAAGCAGTCCCAAAAACAGCTGATTGCCACTTATAACATTTTTTTTCTCAACAATTTTATTCTGTTGTATATTAAGTTCGTGTGAAGAGGTGAATTTTATTTTAGAAAAAAATATAAAAAAAGGAAAGGAAAATATAAAAAATATGTCTTCACATAATATAGAAAGCGTAAGTACAGGAAGTGAAGCTGTGGACGAAATTCTGAAGAAACCATTGTTTCGCGATATCAATGCTGATGACACTGCTGCAGACGCTACAGAAATTGAATCGGCATGCATGAGTTGCTTCCGCTCTGGAGTTACACGCTTGCTGCTGACAAAAATTCCTTTTTTCAAGGAGATAGTTTTGATGTCTTTCAAATGTGGATATTGCGGCTTTGAAAATAATGAAGTACAATCTGCTTCAGAAATTCAAAAGAGGGGTATACGCATTGCCTTGAATGTGCAAACACGAACGGATCTTAACCGACGAGTGGTACGTTCCGATTACACTTGCGTACAAATACCGGAAGTAGAATTGGAAATTCCAGCCCAAACTCAAAAAGGTGAAATAACTACAGTTGAAGGTATAATCGATCGAACTATACGTGGTTTAAACCAAGATCAAGAGAAGCGTAAAGTTGAACATTCTGATGCGGCTGCTGCTATAGATGCATTCATAGAACGTTTGCAAGCTTTGAAAGAAATGAAGACTTCATTTACTTTAATCCTTGAGGATATTAGTGGTAACAGTTTTATAGAGAACCCTGACGCTCCGGCAGCTGATCGTAATTGCAAAACAGTCCAATTTATGCGTAGTGATGAGGAAAACCATTTGTTGGGTATATATGATAAAACGGATGTCGCAGGAGGCGATATAGAACAAACATGTAAGCGTGAAGATAATCATTTACTAAAACCTTTAGACGATGGAGCTTGGACTTATGAAGACTTGCATGGTGAAGTTTTACAATTCCGCACTTTGTGTCCAGAATGCCGTTCGGCTTGTGAAACTAATATGAAGCTTACCAATATACCACATTTTAAAGAAGTTGTAATTATGGCTACTGTATGTGATGTTTGTGGTTGTAAAACTAATGAAGTAAAATCTGGCGGTGGCATAGAAGAAAAGGGTGTACGCTTTGAGGTGACTATAGCCACGAAGGAGGACTTAACTCGTGATGTATTGAAATCGGAAACTTGCAGTTTACGCATACCCGAGCTAGATTGTGAAGTTGGTCCTTCTGCCTTAGGTGGTCGCTTCACAACAGTTGAAGGTATTTTGCTAGCCATGAAAGATCAACTGGAAAATGGCGATTTAATGTTCCACGATTCTTCGGATGAGACAACTAAAGAGCGTTTACAGAAATTTTTAAGGAAATTTAACGATGTCATATCTCTAAAAACTGAGGTTTCTCTAATTTTAGATGACCCGGCTGGTAATAGTTTTGTGCAATCTTTATTGGATAACGATGAGCCAGATGATAAATTGAAAATTGTTAAATATGAGCGCAACTACGACCAAAACGAAGAATTGGGTTTAAATGATATTAAAACTGAAAATTATGAGACGCCATAACAAACTAACGATTTTGAGTTGAGCATAATAGACTTCCACATCCCGGTTGTAAATGTAGCAGTAAATTTGGTATAAATAAGAGAAAAAAAGGGATGATTCCTTTTAGGAAATTATCGGAGAAAATTCGTAGGTTATGTCGTGTTTTTTTATAATATATATTAATATACTCGAATATTTTACACGTAAAATTGCAACATTGTTTTCGGCTAATTCGATTTCGATTTTCAAAATTAGAATAATCACAAGCAGCAAGCGAAATATGCTTGAAAGACTTAACTATGGGTTTATATATAATTTGATGTAATTCGTTCGTTATTAAGAACAGCATTTAATTATTTTCATAAAAATGGAGTTTTAATGTTTTTAGGCATTTTTTTTTCCAGATTTGCAGCTTATTCTTAATGGAAATTAAAATTTGATCGCAACGTTATTTGAGAAGATAGTCGTTTTCACACATATTTGTCTCGCGCGCATAGATTCCAGGTCCTTAAAGTTAGATGCGGCCAGAAGATAAGCTTTGTTTTTGCTTTCTAAAATTTCTAATCCAATGAAATATACTACTGTACAGGTAACCCAGGCCCATTATGCCCGAACTTCGCTAATAAGCCCAATGTTTATTTATCAATGGCGCGTAGTTGTGTCTTGGTAATGAAATGTTGGGGAATTCTTAAATAAAAATGTAAAATAAATATACGAATGCCTTTGATATGTGATTTCTGTAAGATCAGAAAGCATGACAAAATGAGCAATGTAATTATCAGAAGAATACCCTAACGAAATATCGAACTTTGAGCGAACGGTGATTTAAGATCGGCATGTAGTAGATTGAAAATTGTCGAGTCGTCGTGTATTTTTTATATTGCCAAGGAATGAAAAGAGAATGATCTTGTTAACCGCGGAAATGCTGCAAATAGCCCTCCTTACGAACTTATTATCTCTGTGATTAGTTTGCTTTTAACGTTATTTGAGAACCAGACATGCCATTATGCCACATAGGCAGTGCAAATATAAAAAAAATGAAGGGCGACATTAATGATTAAGCCTTAATTGTAGGACATTTGGGAAAAGAATTTTTTTGCATTTGCCTTTTACGGACTTAAATTAGGCTACGAGTTCTTTTTGTGGTTATTTGAAAAGTTTGATTTAATATTTGAGATTTTTACGTATTAAAATTCTTACAAAGGTTAAAAATTTCGACAGTTTAGTGGCACTGAGATTTCTGCAAAAATTCTTGGAAGCTTTCTGCGTCTCATTATAAAAACTTACCGTTTTAGGTAAGCAAAAAGAGCATCTTGCACTCTCTCTGTTTCGTTTTCTAGAGTGTTGAATCCTTTCAGTTCCTGGAATTAAAAGCAAATAAAATTATTATATATCTAAAAAGTCAAAGGAAAGTAAAATGTAAATAGATAATAGCGCAGTTATTGAAAGTAAGAACTAATTGCTTCCTTTTTTCAAAACTATTAATATTGAATATTTTGGGTTACATTTTTTTGTTTTCATTTTTATTTAAGCATTGAAGAGAATATCACTACTAATGATAGTAAAAAAGCGCTGCTATCGCAAGGTATGTGTGGGTGTGTTTGCTTTGTATTGTGTTGATGCTCATTCATCATATAAAACTCTCACACTCCCACAAAGAAGTGTAAACCAAAACAAACAACGAAAAGCACAATTTTAGCGCGTAGAGTATAAGAAATTCCATTAGTGTTTATTATTACTTTGACTCTCTTGTACTCTCTTTCTCTATACATCTCTCTCTTCCTCTCTCAATCAGTCCGTTCGCCTCATTATCTTTTACTCATTTAAACTGTCTCTCTTATTACAGAATTCCATTTCCGTTTCAAGACGTATCGATGTTCATATTTCATGTGTTTTATAAGCTTGTTCCATTCGTGATATGAAAAGCATGTAAGAGAATATTTCTATTAGAATTTTTTTTATCAGTGATGAGAGAGTTTGATATCTAAACGAGAAAGCAAAACTGGAAATAATTTATGAGAATTATTTGAATTTATTAATACGTGGAAAGGTTTTCTAACAAATGAGCACCATTTTAGAGTTATTCTGCATTTGAGCGTTGTCGCAGAAGGCACGTTATGGTTCTACGGTTGTTCTCGAGTGTAATATAACTCAACAAAAAAAAGAAAAAAAATTCCAATGTTTTGAGCAAAGCAGGAAAAACCTAAATACAAAAAGATTCGCTTTATTAGCAACAAAAAGTTTTTGAGAAAATATAAAAAAATAAAAGTAAAGAAGAAAAAGAGAAAATCGGATCTCATCAAACAAAAAAAAAAAGAAGTAGGAAAAAAGGGATCACTACTGATAACAATAAATCCACTAAATATCGATAATCTCACGTGTGATCATCGTATTAAACGTAAAAGTAATTCAAATGAGAAAAGTTCTCAATTTATTACTTCTGGTGAAAAAATAATAATAAAAGGAGAGGAAAGAAAAATAAAAAAACAAAATCGCGTATATTATTGTTGTACACACCAATGTGCCGGATAATTTAATACATGTATACTTATGTGTATACGTTGCATGAATGTACGTATTTTATATAAGTGTTTTTTTATGCCGGGCTGCTTGCTGGTTATTTGCTACGCTGCATATTATATGCATTTGTTGGTGTTTGTTATTATAATCACGAATGGGAAGGAGTTTAATATTAACCAAGTATTAGCTGTATTTAAAATTATTAGTCACACAGATCCGCCTGAGTAGCCGAAGGCGAGGAATCTCGACGACCATTGACTCGAATCTCGACCATTGACTCGAGATTCGAGTTCGAAGTGGGTTCGAATCTCAAGTGCGGTAGAGTTTTTAATAAAAGCCGATAGTCTTAGATGCTAGTGATTCTAAGAGCTTAGTCTTACAATTTATTTCTCTGGCGAAATTAATAATAATATAAATGTGTACATGTGACAATATTTGTTGTAATCGTGATATGTGTGCTCCTAGCTTTTCCGCATATATTCCTCCAAAGTTAAGTTAACAGAAAGGATTTTGTCATTTAGAGTGAAGGTAGAGAGAAATAACTGCATAGTGCGTATGATACAAAAACAGAAATCGTTTGTCGTTTGTTGTTAACACTATTGCTTTCGTTTGCCTCGAGTGAAGCTGTTCGATAAAGTTGTTCGTTCACTATAAAAAATATCGCATGTTCATTAAACGTTGGCTGCAGTTGTTTTCTCCGTTTTTCTCATTTTTCTGCTTTTGTTAAATAGGTTAAGATATTTTCAATTTTTCAAGTTTTTTGTAATTTTTCACATTGTACGATTTTAAACGCCACGCACATTTAACGTACCTTTTTTCGCTACAAAAGCGTAGAAGCGGAGAAGCGTGGAAAGCACGAACAAAATAAACTATAATAAATACCTTCGTAATGCAGGCTTTTGCAAAACCATGGATTATTTTATCAGTAGGTTGGCAATGATTAGTAATGATATTCACCCACCAGTGCCTATCATTAGGTCATGTAGCAGTGATTTCGCAATAACCGGTATCCTAAGCTTTCTTCTATGATCAGTACAATGTGTTATCAATATTTTCCTAGAAAAAGTAAAAAAATTGGAGAACGCGATGCATACACGTATACCAACTAACGTAAGATTATATAGATACGATGCTATGTCATATGCGGCTATCTTAAGTCATATATTTTTTTTCCAATTTTCGTCTACTGTAATAAGATTTGAAATACTAATGGAGCAATGTGTTGTTGTTCGAATGTGTTGCCGTGTTATTAGGTAGCATTCCCTATGAATCCTTCCTTGGGAAGGGTACTTGAGTTGTGAGTGTATCCCTATTCTGCTCGGCTGCAGTACGCCAAGCCTATCCGTCTCATGTGGTGCCAATGAAGCTCGGCAAGAGACGGTCCCTAGCTAAAGCTTAGGCGGATTTAACGCCTTTTATAATTGAGCGAATAAAACGCTTGGTTATGAATTGCTGTTAAACAATTGATTTCTTTATTTCTTGAAGTGCCTTATTTATACTTAAATCTACAGGTGGTTTTATGCTACGTTAACACTTATTGGGGCGTCTGGCATCGTATTGCATTTCGTAATGCAATACCCAGCCAGTTGAAGTGCAACAAAATTTTTGTTTTACTTTTTTTTTGTTACAGAATTATGCAAATTCAGCATAATTCTGTCGCACTTCAAAGTGGATGCATACGACGATATGCGATCACACTACACTACTCTCTTATGCTATCATATAGTCCACGGTATTCCGAGGTTATATAGGTGATATTCCATAAATGCGTTTCCCATCCTTTTCGCTTTTATGATGTTACGAATGCCTGCATCATTTTGTGTTCACATATATTCTATCTTAGCCTTGGCCATTCTATTTATCTCATTTTTTATGTATAGGGTTGAGATTTCTCTCAAGTATTTCACCCAATTGATGCAAAAGATGCGAATGATGTTTTTCATGTTAATCGATTAGTAAAATCTTCTTTAAAGGCAGTTTTGCCTTGAGAGCTTGCATAAATCCGATCTAGTTTGCCTTACGGTTTATCGGTGATTACGATTTTGGATCACAGCAGTTAATGCAAGTTAAATCTGCAAGTTGCAAGCTGATGCATAAAGTAATTTTTATATCTACCACTGTAAGATGCGGGTATAGTCATGTTGTTTTTTTCCAAAACATATGTAACACCCAAAAGAAAGCTGTAGAGACCCCATAAAGTATAAATATTCTTGATTAGCGTGAAATTCTGGATTGATTTAGCCATGTCGGTTCGTCTGTGTGTGTGTGTTATGCGTCCTGGCCGCAAGGATGAAGATATCGACCCTAAATTTGGTGCAAACATTGGAAGTTTCTGCACGCAGGTTGATATTGAAAATAGGCCAAATTCATCAGAGCAAAAGTGCGCAATGGAGAGTAAACTGAACGCAAATTAGTTTTCTTGAACAAAGGTTTTTGGATTATCGCTCGTTACTTGGAAATTATTAAAGTTAGGAGGGTGAAATTTTCCACATTTGCTTTACGGGACACTTTACTCTTTAGGTCCATTTCAAATGGAATCAATCGGCCGTGTCTACACAAAGTTACGAATAACTAAATTAATGTTTTTTTTCAGTTTTTTGAGGTTTTGTGCTTATATATCATAAAGCAAACAATACAAAACGTTTAAAACTATGTTGTACACTCCTCAAATGAAGATATATATTATATGCCTGAAAATGGGTTAATTTTAAAATGACTATAATATAATTCCTAATAATACTAGCGATAAGGGTATCAAATGAGAGAACTTGGAGAGTACAAGGCGAAAAACATTGTGGTGAGTATGCGAGACTCGGCTCTTGCCGAATATAACCTTCTTACTTGTTATTTTTGTTAGTAGTGACAATGGATTTTCAACTATTATATTAACGGTGTCCTCATATTTGTGTAGCGCCGATTGATCGCTCTTAATGCAGATAATCATTAACATTTCCCCGTTGGCGCTGTCCTTTGTTAGATTCAACGGCTCATCAGAAAGATCAAACAATTTTTTTCTTTTAAGTAAATAAATATCATAGACCATCGTATACTAGTGGTTTGGTTAGGCACGAAGGCTGAAGCCGGTAAAGTCTTGATTATGGTATACCGGGCAACGTACAGGAATTGACGCTATCGTGTTGATGGTGGCGGTATTCCCTTACCTAAATAGAAGGGGTGATACCTTGTCGAAATGGCTTTCGGGCTGATGTTGCTCACTACCTCCACCCCGTTAAAATTTGGCAAGTTCGAGAAGAACGCTCTAGGTCGCAAAATGATGTAGGAAGCAGAATCTGGCACTGAACGCTAGTCTCATAAGGGCTAGCGTCAACCCTTGCATGGCCTCCCTGCTTACACAGATAACCATGGGGCCCGTTAAGGCCAATACACCTACGAAATCAGATAACGGCTTGTCAGTTGGGGCCCAATTACAATGATTTCTAACAAAC